GTTCATCAGTGTCTCAGCAATCCAGTCAAATCACTGTTCTGAAGAAGACATTTCTTGAGGAATGGCAGATAAAACACTGGACAATTATTTGGCTAATGAAAGGATCTTCCTTTAAGAGAATAACATCCCTAATGTTTTGTCATGTAGATATTGTTTTTAAAATAGACCATAATAAATAAACTTTTTATAGATCAGTTCCTGTATATGAGGGGAAGTGAGGGGGAAGGTATTTAGTCTGATAGAGTCAAAACATTCTCCAGGACAAGAATGACTCAGGAAAAGTCATTTATTATGTCAATCACACAGGCTTGTCATCCATGAAGTATGGCCTTCAAACCAGGAAACAGGTGAGAGTGAGGCAAGTGATGCATTTGAAAGCTCTTATATGTCCCCTGGGATAAGAGCTGCCCCACCTGAGGAGAGAGACCTGGGGCTTTAAACGGTCAAACCCAAGTAAATATTGGTGAAGCTATTATACCTCCATAGACCTGAAATATACTTTTATAGAGTCAGAGATACCATTATCTTGTTCTGTAGTATTGCTCCAAGCAGATAATTAAAATTAGGAATCAAACTCAAAGTAGAAAATAGAAATATTCATGGCTCCCATCTCCAAAACATGTTCCTCTACTATTTTTTTTTTTTATTAATTGCATTACAACCTTCCTACTCACCCAGAGTTAAAAAACTCTGAGCAACATTGAACCATTCCTCTCCCCTGGTCGCCTCACTTAAATGTCAACTCCTAACAATTCTATCTTCTAATATCTTTTCCATATTCACCCATTCCTCCTTTCTCATTTCTGCTGCCTTAGTTTCAGGCCCTCATTATCTCTAGCCTGAAACAATTTTCTCCGTGTCTCTCGTGCTCCTACACATCCTACACAGGCCGCCAGATAGACTTCCTGAAGGATAGCTCTAAATCCATCACCATGTTGCGCCAAGAAATTGTCAATGGTTCTTCCGTGACCTTCATTTTAAAGTGCAAACTCCTAAGCCAAGAATTAAAGGGCCTCAGTGATCTGAACACAACCTACCTTTTCAGTCTTATATCCCATATGCATCTTTACATACTTTAAATTAGAACCTGAACTGTTGGCTATTTTAAAGGTCTCTGCCTGTTCCTTCTATCTGAAATGTCCCTCCCCTCCATTTCTGCCTATCTAAATCCTTCGTTCTCCAAGACCAGCTAAGACCCATTTCCCTTTGGAAACATCCCATGGCTTCCTAGGCCAGTGCAAAGTGTCCTGTAAACTCCTGTATTAGACACTGAATTAGAGTTCATTTTGTATATATCCTATACCTCTTACAAGAATATGAACTTTTTAAAGTTAGAGACTGTTGTTTTACTCATTATGGGTGCCCGATATTATGTAGCATAGGGACTCTAGACCTAGGGTCCATAGACCCCAAGAGTCCATCTACAGGATTCAAGGGGCCTTGGATGGTGAACCTGGATGGAAAAATTATTTTCACAATCCTCTAATTGAAAATTTGCACTTCCTTAAACTGCGTATGCAGGCAAAACCCATAAAATATTCATAGTATTTGTGATACTGTAACCAATAGAATTATAGTATATTTTTCTGGCACATTGTACTGGTTAGTGGTATCTTAAAATAACTTTTATGTTTATCACTACATTAAAATTTTGATATTTTGAGTCCCTTCATTAGATCTTGTTTTTTAATGCATTAGTTAAGAAATATTTTCTACCATATCATAAAATTTTGGAATCATTTAATATTTTAATATAATTCATTTTCTCTGTAATTCCATGGATTTTACTTTGTGCATTTAAACTAAGAAATAACTTGTAGACTTCACTGACTAACAAGAAAATCCATGGTCAAAAAAAAAAAAAAAGTCAAGAATCCCTGGGTTCTACTGTTACCTTGCAAAATAAAAAGAAAACTTGTAGAAAAATAATCATGATACTATGTAGTTCTTGGTTATGGTTATAAAAAATACATATGATAAACTATGAAATATTATATAAGCACATTATTCATAAATATTCATAGAGCTTTGGCATTAGAAAAAGACCCTTTTGTCCCCTAGCCCTATTAAAATGGCAATTAAGATTGCCACATACCTCCAAGGACAATTTATTATCTTCCAAAGAAGATTAGTCCATACATGGACAGGTACAACTATTTGACAGTCAATATTGTTTTAAATGATAATCTGGTTCCTTGTAACTTCTTGTCACTGGTCTTCATTCAATCCCTATGCAACTACATAGAATAAACCCAATCTCTCCTCCACATGACAACCATCATGTCTTCCTTCATCTATTTTCTCCAGGATTAATATTACTAGTTCCTTCAACCATTCCTCTTATGATGTAATTATGTGTCTGTTATCATGTCAACTGTTCTCCTCTGAGAATATCCCAATGTTTTTTAGTCCCTCTTAAAGTGTGGTGATTCTCAACTCAACACCGTAATTCAGATGCATTCTATTGAGCAGGGAGTTCAATGGGACTACCACCTTTTGAATGCTACATACTGTAATTCTAGTAATGCTGATTGAGACAGCACTATCAAATTTATGGCATTATTCATCATGCTGAGCCCAGTGTACTTTCTTAAAACTCATACACTTATTTTTTTTTAAATTCATGTGCCTGCTATTTGATTTCCCTTCAGTAATTATTTGTGCAGCTAGGAGTTTTGGTCACGATCTCTGGACTTAACAATAAGATCTATTAAATTTTATTTGATGGGCTAGTTTTAAGTTCATATTTTTGGTTTGTCAAAACCTTTTGAGTTTTGTTTCCTTCATGCATTTTATTCAAAGTTCCTCCCAGATTTGTAGAATCTGTAAGTTTGATGAGCATACTTTTATCACTTCATATTTATACTTAATACTTTATATACATTAATGCACACTTAAAAATGCCTGAAATTCTGATGTCTAAAATATATATACTATAGAAAACAAAGTTCAGTAAAGTACATAAAAACATTCTTTGATAGTAGGAATGTACTGATAAAGTACTCTTAAATGAGAGTCTCATCTTGCAAGTGTCTCTCTTGTACCAAATCTTTAACACACAGTAATAAAGAGGAAGAACAAAAAACTATGAGTACAAGAGAAAAAATATTTTACATTTCCTAGGAGTTCATACTGGGAAAAAAACAAAAAACATCGCATATCAGTTTTTTTATTTTTACATTAAAGAGCTCGCTAAAGAATTTTAAAAACCACTTTCTTATAAGACTAAATCATCTTTTTGGTATTTCATAATTAAAATAATCTAGCAATCTCACTTCTTTAGAGATTATTGATCTGACAGCTTCATTTATGCTAGAACATAGCCAAGTAGGGGAAAATAAAGTGTCTGTGCAGCCAGAAGTCCATGAACTAAAGATCATCAACATTACCCAGAATCTCTCAGCAACTCACCCAGACATATATGTTTATATTTTACTTATGGTCCAGAGGCTGTGATTATCTATTTTCATAATTTATAAATTAAAAGAGAAACAAATTAGAAATTATTCACAATGCAAAAAGTAACAGCCTGCAATCTGATATTGAAAGAAGAGACCCCAACACACACACATACACACAGACACACACGCACACAGATGGTGCATGCACCAAAAGATACCTGTTATCAAGCAGACATAAGAACTCAAAAGTCTCATAATTGCAGAGAAATAATATAAAGCCAAATAGTCCTAATCATCTCAATGATCTCTGGGGGTATCATCACATTGTAGCCTGATAAAACAAATGACATTTATAATATGATAATTATCACAATATCCCAAATTTATGTACTTGACTGCTCATCAGAGACTTCATTATTATAGTTAATTCTCAAAATGTTTGAGTTACCAAGTCAAATACTAATACCACACCAAATTTTAAATTTTGTGGCTCAGGTAAACTGAAGAATTTACCCAGGGTCACATAATTATTAGATAAGTATTGGAGTTTATAGTCTACTGCACCATGACCCTGAATCATCAAAAAAATATTTACATTTTTGTGTCCTATCATCTGGTTGGTAAGTCAGGGAGGTGTGTGATGCATTTTAGAAACTTCCTTTTGTGCTGATGTGATTTTGACACATCCACAAAAATTAATTTGAAACTTTTAAACTTTTAAGCCCTCATAGGAATAAAATTAAGTTACATGAAAAATTCTCTTCTATCCGCATTTCTCTACAGTGCCACAGAACTCTAAATTTAACTTACAGTGTTCGCAATAAATCCAGAACCATTAACTACCCTACATTTCAGAGTCTAAAATCTGCACATAAAGAACGATAGAACATACATAGTACAGCAACCACTTAGACTTGATTTATTTGATTTAAAAATATTATTAGAGTCTTCTTTCATGTTTTTTAGGACCTAGGTGAACCTAGTGAAGCTAAGTATATCTCTTGAGAGAGTAGAGAAGGTAGCTGTGGGATGATCTAATAGATGTCATATGTTACAGCACTTTCCTCTTGAGCATTTAGCTTTGACAAATTAGAAACAACTCTCAATTCTACAAAAATTTGGAGGTGGAAGGATATTTATAAATTTGTAATATTTACAAAAATTGAGGAATAAATTAGTTTTGTTTTTATTTTCTGTTTGCTTTTCTTTTCTTTTTAAACAGTTCATCTTTTCATAATAAAACACTGTCCATCAAAAGGAAATAAGGGATAAAAAGAATGAAAAATAAAGTTGCAGCTGCAAAAGTTCCCATACTACACCTTTTTTCATGGTAAAGCTTGCAGTCCCTTTAAAACCTTGATTTATTATCATAAGAACAAAATAAAATGCACAAAGTTTTAGAAAAATGGAACTATCTGCTTAATACTCCCAACAGATCAAATCTACCATCACCATGGTAACCTGTGAATAACTTTTTCCTAGCTAGTGCCAATTATGCACTGCTTTGGCCCTTGAAATCCCACTCAGTTTTTTTTTTTTTTTTTTTTAAGGCCTGGAATCTTTGAAAGAATAAAGCCCAACAGTTAAGTCCACACATACCCTCTTGTTCTGTCCGAGTCATTTCCTCAAGCTTCTTCTGTTTCAGTGTGTCCACCACATCGGCAAGGCTCCCTTTGCGGCGTTCTGGAGTTCCAAAAGTAACACTGGTCATTATCTCGCGGTCCCGACTCCCTTCGTCAGGCTTATGTGGTGAGGTAGAGGTATTTCGGAAGGAATACAGGGAACATAACTTATTATTCTCTGACTCCTAGAAAAACAAAATAAAATAAAACCATTAGAACATTTGTTTCTTTGCACACCGTTGGAGAAAAATCCTAAACTCAGAATAACAACACTATGAGGACAAAATATAACCATCTCTGCTTTATTTTTTTTCCTGTTACATTATTCAGCATTAGTTTTTGATGTAGTGTTCCATGATTCATTGTTTGCATCTAACCATTTCTGCTTTAAAAATACTAAACATTAAAGAAGCAATTATCAAAAGAACTCCCTTGAACTTGATGATTAAAACTGGTTTTTCTTAATTAAAAACCAACCTAAGAGTTTCAAACCCTTAATTTTAAAATGGACACTTCGACTTCTTATTCATTCACACCCTTCACTTAGAGTAGTTCAACTTCAATTATTAATTATTAAGATTGGTGAAGTTTTTCTTTTAATTGGCACTTTTGTTAAATGCTCTTCCCACAGCTTAAAAAATATATACATTATAATAACATTATCTTTGAATTTAGAAACAATAGGGAAATTAGCTTCAATATCCAATGTTAATTATTCAACAGCAAATATATAAAATATCTAAATCAGTGCCAGAAAGTTAGCCAACCTGAACATTTTTGTGTGCTGGGGCTTGAGGGGAATCATTTTTTTCCTAGCCATACATCTTTCAAAGTTCCAAAAATTCTTTCTGTTCCTTATCTTTATCACTTACACTTTAGTACATAGTCACATACATTTGAAAGTGGCTTATTTTCAGGTTTTAATGTTTGTTTATTTGATTGCTTTTAAAAGGACAAATCTGCTACGAAACATTTGCACAAGAATTCACGATACAGAGAAGGTAAGCTAACTGGTAAGAAGGTTAGATCCATCTGTGAGGAAAAAATGCAAAACTGAGATTGAAAATAACAAACACCTAAAAGTTTATAGAAAGAAAATGTTGTTACGTCTCTCTAAATCAGAACTGAGGGTTGGAAGCAACTGTTCTTTAGCTACAGCCCATCAGTAATCTTACATTCACCTCATCTGTCTAGGCATGGGTATTCTCTTGCCCAATTAAAAAAAAAATGTATGAAATAAAGCATCTGGCCTTTGTGATTCTCATCAGAAACATGAACATCTTAACTGCTCCTCTCTCTCTCTCCCCCTTCACAAAGACGTCCAGCAAACTTCAAGAACTAAGGGAAGAAATAGGAGGCAAAAGTTATAGTAATACCTGGTGGGAAAGAGGGAAAAAAGAAAAATGGAGCCTAGACAAAGTACCGGTTTCAAGATAACTATAAATGACAAACGCTAGGCAATTAGTATTTTTGTCATTGTAGAAGGTTAAATAAAACTTGTTTTCAGGGCTGTTGGGAACATATTATGAGATAACATTTGTAAAGCAACTAGGCACAAGACTAAGCTCTAAGCAGTGGTATTTAATAAGTGGTAGGTACCATTATTCTGATGGAAGGAGCAGATCTAAGGATGGAACCAATGCGGTTCTCTTCCCCTCTGGACCTAAGGAATTGTTTAGTAAAACATGTTATGACTCTTAAAGTAAACTGAATACTGTGAAGCCTGAGCATATACTAAAAACCATTGAATTGTATACATTAAATGGGTAAATTGTGTGTATGTGTACTGTATCCTAATAAAGCTGTTAAAAATATGGTAAGCCAAATCAGTCTTTTTTTTTTTTTATTCCCAGTACTAACACAATGCCTAGCACAGAACAGACGCTCATTACATTTGTACTGAAATAAATTGAAAAGGATAAAATAAATGGAGTAGGACAGGGGCAGGAAAGAGAGCTCCTCTTTACCTTGCTCCCAGATCTAGGAAAGACATTTTATTTCATTTAATGTTTACAATAACTCTATAGCATAATGCAGAGGAACCCCTTCTTTTAGATGTCAGTCATGGTTAGTAACTTCTTGGGATGTCAGGTCATTCTCTGCTTTGTGCAAATGAAAACTCAGAAATGGGGGTGCCTGGGTGGCTCAGTCACCTAAGTGTCTGCCTATGGCTCAGGTCAAGATCTCAGGGTCCTGGTATCGAGCCCCTCATTGGGCTCCCTGCTCAGCAGGGTAGTCTGCTTCTCCCTCTCCCCCTGTCCCTCCCCCCGCTCATGCTCTCTCTCTTTCTTCACTCTCTTTCAAATGAATAAATACCCTTAAAAAAAAGAAAGAAAGAAAACTCAGAAATGTGTTTTCCAAAGGCATTTCTATCTCTTAGTAATGTTGTGATCAGAAATTTGACCTAGACTTTTTTGTACCAGTATCACCATTGGATAAATCATGCTTCCATCACTTTCATTTCAAGTGCAAACTAGTCTTGTATCATAGCCTATAAATCAAAAACAACAACAACAACAACAACAACAAAAATTTTGACTAACCTAAGAGATTAAAAACCAAGTCAAAACAACTCATGTAGAAGTGGGTTACCTACAAATAAGCCAACATTGACCATAATACAAAGGGCTTTCCCATCACTCCTAAACTGAAATTAAAAGATATTAGGAATGGCTCTCCTGCCTGAGGAATAATTTAAAGTTTCACTTACTCATGTCCTTTGTGAGATAGACTGCTTTCTTTGTTTTTGTTTTTGTTTTTGTTTTTTAACCTATGGGAATGTAGCCACCACCATCCTACACCACAGACAATCACCATAGGTTCCCACACCAATGACCCACTCTGTCCTCAGCCCCATAATCTGTGCAAAGTGGCTAAACACTCCCAAGAAGCAGAGAATAAGAAGCTGAAAAGTCATGATTTTTCCAAAAAAGTGATAAGAACTACTTGCAATATGTCACCAGGCACCAACATAGGCAGTGGATAAAATCATCAATGGGGGCGCCTGGGTGGCTCAGTGGGTTAGGGCCTCTGCCTTCAGCTTGGGTCATGATCTCAGGGTACTAAGATGGAGCACCGTATAGGGCTCTCTGCTTGGCGAAGAGCCTGCTTCCCTTCCTCTCTCTCTGTCTGCCTCTCTGCCTACTTGTGATCTCTGTCAAATGAATAAACAAAATCTTTAAAAAAAAAATCATCAATGGTGTAAGTCATTAAGTCCCCTTATGCCATTCTTAGGAACAAGGGAAATGTGCAAATTTTACCATTTCCGGCCTCACTTTTTAACTTACTAAAACTTAACAAATAATGGCCTCTCGTGAATGGAAGCCTACAGGCAATTGATCTGTGTAAATGGGCACTTAAGTCCAAACACTTACAACGAAGAGGGTACTGTTGGGTAAAAGGCAGTAATACCAAATTAGAAAAAGAAACTTGACAAAGCATCTCTAAGGTTCTTTTTAAGAGGGTAGGCAATATTTAAGTAAGTTTTTTTAACGGAAAAAAAAGCTCAACTTATGTAATTTCCTAAAAATGAAACAGGTCCTATGAAATAGCAGTTTGAGGAAAGATGCCCAGCGATGATATCTGTTGTGTCTTGATGCATGTCACAGCAGCATAGTCACGGAGAGATGCTAGATAGCATTTCCCTAAAGCAATGGTTCTCAAACTTCAATATTTAGAATTCCCTAGCAAATATGTTAAAATGCAGATTCCCTCACCTCCCTCAACACCCCCAATGGAGGGTCCCAGGAATATGGTGTTTGATAAATACCCCAAGTGATTCCAATGTATAGGTCCTTTCATTCTGATGCATCCCACTTCAAGAAACACTGATCCTTATGAAAGCAATGAAATAAAAGTTTTGCCTGAATGCTACAATATGCATAGAATTATGAAAATTTTTAAGAAGGCTAGTTAGTTTTAATTTTAAAAAAAAATAATATAAAGGAGATTACTTCTTTTGTTCTTTCTTATGAAAACAACCACTGTATAACATGACTGAGCAAATGAACATCACAACAAGCAGAGCATATGGGAACAGAGTTAGCATTAGTTCATTCAAAGGCAAGTTACTATAAGTTTGTTTTCTCTCAACCCCAACCTCAGTGGTACACCAAACCTACCAGTGAAGATAATTCTTGAAATACTATTTAAAAGGATCCCAGTCACAACAGAAGAACTAAAGCAACATTGATTCAGATTATCTAAAGAGCTTTTTGCTGGAAGTCAATTAAATACAACGCAAAATGATAGGCAGGTGCCTGAAAAAGCACACAGTAATACAAAAATATAGTCATTAGGCAAAGTTTCTAGAAAACACAAGCAATCTTCACAAATTAAAAATATTTAATTAAGATGTTTCCATGTCTGAAGGGGTAGAAAAGTAAATATTAAAGACAAAACATATACAAGGTGATGGATGTCAACTAAACTTACTGTGGTAATCATTTCACAATACATACATGTGCCAAATAATTATGTTCTACACTTTCATATGTTATTTGTCAATTATATCTAAATAAAACTGGAAAAAATGTTTTAAAATAAATATTGCCCAGATTTTTCAGAGGTTGTTACTCAAAACAGATTTTTCAGCAGTGGCAATAGAAAGACATTAGACTTAAATAGCCTTCTCATGGTAATGTGAATATATCAAACACACATAAATTTTTGAGCTTTTGTGCTTCATGTTCTTTTCCTCTAGAATGTCCTACATTCTCTTTGACTATTCACTCAACCCACTTCTCAAAGCTCAGATCAAATTGTATTTCATCCTTGAAGTCCTTCCTGACTATAGTGGGCCTCACTATCCTCCTACCCCCTGAACTACACATCGAAGCACATCAGAACCACACAACTTAGCATTTAATAATATACTGAAATAAATTATTCATTACTATTTTGCATGTTATTAGTCATATCTGCAACTAAATTTTAACACTTAAAGAATTGGGGCCATGTCTCATGTTTCTTAGATATACCCCCAGCCAAGAGTGCCCAACAAAATGTTAAGTACATCATCAGCTGCTGAACTTCAAACAACTACTCATCAAATATGTCAAAAATAATTTAAAATATACGTCTAAGGGTAAAGATTTGTTCTAACAGTGACGGGATTGCTTATTTAAGCAAAATATTGAAAACTGAAATATTTTTTTAAAAAAGGGATTCATTTAATAGAAGATGA